ACGCCTACAGGACTGTTTGGTCAAGCGCTTGACGTCATCCAAATCAAATTTGAACAGAGGAAGAAGCAGGCTGAGGCACTTCGCTGCATCATCCCCAGACGCGAGGCCCAAGGCCCTGGGCACATCCATGTCTGCGTCTCATCCTCCTCCGTTTAAAAGGCAGCGACACCCGGGACTTCAAATGCCCAGCCCGCCGAACCTTCCAGCAAGCCGCAGCCTCCCCGTCAATCAGCATGGAGCAAAGGCCCCCCTCCAAGTCAGCAGGACAGTTCAGTGGCTCGGAAGAAGAAYTCAAAGTCCTCCTAACAGCAGGACTGTCTTCACAGGGACTTCAAAAACAGAGAGACAATGTTCAGCTGCAGTTGAAAAGACATTTAAATGCTTGTGTTTCAGAAAACGGCCCCAAGTGGTGTCGGGTTTCAAATGTTCAGTCTCCTCTATTAATGTCCCAAAAAACAAACAAAAAAAAAAAACATGTAGCCCCCTCCTTGGGTGCAAATTATGTTTTAAAATGCAAAACTTTAATAAACAGTTCTGCAAATGTTTTCAATGTGTCATTAAAGAATTATCTTTGTGCACAAACGAACACAATAAGCTGCGGGCGACAGTCAATAATGTTGTCCCTTCCCCATCCAGTGGAGGGCAGCAGCGACACGTCTCCAACAGTAAGGCAAGTCAGTCGCTTAGCAACGCGACTCGCTCTCTGGCGTGCATGCGCACCCTCTCCATGGGTACAAAGAACTGCTGCTATGGGTTACAGGCTGCAGTTCCGCATCAGGCCGCCTCGCTTTCGGGCCATTGTAAACACAGTGGTGACAAACGAGGCAGCCGCCATTTTAAGAGAGGAAATTTGCATGTTGCTAACAAAGAGAGCTATTTGAGTGGTTCCATCTGCAGAAACACAAAAAGGTCTGTACAGCCATTATTTTCTTGTTCCGAAGAAAGGGGGCGGCCTGCGGCCTATTTTGGATCTGAGAGTGTTAAACCGGTACCTTCAAACATACAGGTTCAAAATGTTAACGCTCAAACAGCTAATTCACTCGATCAGCCCGGGCAATTGGTTTGCAACCATCGATTTAACAGACACCTATTTTCACATAGCGATTCACCCGGAGCACAGAAAATATCTCAGGTTCGCCTTCGAGGGTGTAGCCTACGAGTATCTGGTGCTACCGTTCAGTTTATCGCTAGCTCCTCGCACCTTTTCAAAGTGCGTAGAAGCTGCGTTGACTCCTCTCAGAGAAAGGGGGGTCCGTCTGTTAGCATATTTAGACGACTAGGCTCTGATCACAAGCTCCAAGGAGCAAACATTAGATCAGCTGTCTCAGGTTCTGTCACACATTCAGGCTTTAGGGTTTTTAGTAAACACCCAGAAAAGTCTATTAACACCAAGTCAGCAGTTTTCATTCCTCAGACTAGAAATCTGCTCCTTGTCAAGCAGGGCTTGCCTCTCAGAAAACAGAGCGGCCGCGTTTCACCGCTGCTTAGCTCAGTTTCAACTGGGACGCAAACTGAGCTTCAGAACTGTACTCCAGTTACTGGGAATGATGGTTTCCATGATTTCAGTAGTACCACTCGGGCTGTTAAAAATGTGCCGTTTTCAGCATTGGTCTCAGTCCCACAGGCTGTGTCCGTCTCGACACAGACACAAAAATCTAACAATAACTGCTTCCTGCATGACGGCTCTCAGCCCCTGAAGGGAACCCGGCCTCCTGTATCAGGGTTCTCCAATAGGGAGGGTGTCGTTTCACAAAGTGGTGTCCACAGACGCCTCCCTGAAAGGTTGGGGAGCCCTGTGCGACGGCGCGACGGTGAGGGGAACCTGGACTCCACAACAGTCCAAGCTCCACATAAACTGCCTAGAATTGTTAGCAGTCCTGTTAACACAGAAACATTTTTGTCCAGTTCTGGAGAACCATCATCTTCTAAATCAGAACGGACAACACAGCAGTGGTCTCTTATATAAACAGACAAGGGGGGGACTTGGTCCCTTCCCCTGCTGAACCTGTCTCACACTCTTTTACAGTGGAGCAGTGTTCTTTTTCTGTCTATCAGAGCCATTCATGTTCCGGGGAGACTGAACCTAGGTCCAGACCTCCTCTCCAGGGGCGGACCTCTAGCAAAGGAGTGGAGGCTACATCCCACTGTGGTGGCCCAGATTTGGTTTTTGTTTGGGAAAGCGACAGTAGATCTGTTTGCCTCCAGAGCAAACACACACTGTCCTCTGTTCTTTTCCATGACAGAGCAGAGCGCTCCTCTGGGAGTGGACGCCCTAGCTCATCCTTGGCCCGATGTGCTTCTGTATGCGTTTCCCCCAGTGGAAATGAAACCACTTGTACTAGAGAGGGTGCGCGGACAGAGCCTGTATTTGATCCTAGTGGCACCCCGCTGGCCAGCGAAGTCTTGGTACGCCGAGATAATCAGCTTGCTAGCAGCTCAACCCTGGCAACTTGCGGTTCGACGAGATCTCCTCTCTCAGGCAGAGGGGGAGACCTTTTCACCCACACCCAGAACTATGGAAGCTGCATGCTTACCTGCTGAAAGGTCCAGCTTATTAGCCAAAGGCCTTTCTCCAACAGTAATAGCAACTATCCAAAACGCAAGAGCTTCATCCACTAGAGGATTATATTCCTATAAGTGGCAAGCTTTTGAGCGATGGTGTAAGAACGGGCACCTGGACCCTTTTCAGTGCGCAATAGGAAATGTTTTAACATTTCTTCAGGAGCTACTGGATAAAGGGCTCTCCTTCTCCACAATTAAAGTCTACTTAGCAGCCATTTCTGCCTGCCATGTAGGTTTTGATGGAGTCACACCTGGTGCTCATCCTTTAGCCGTGCGTTTTCTGAAAGGGGTTCGTAAGCAACGGCCTGCTATTAAACCCAGTATTCCCTCTTGGGACCTCACTGTGGTTCTTGAGGCTCTCTGCGACCCTCCATTTGAGCCTCTAAAGTCTGTAGAGTTGAAGTTTCTTTCATATAAAGTTGCTTTGCTTCTGGCTTTAGCTACAGCTAAACGGGTCGGGGACCTCCARGCTCTMTCAGTGAACCCCTCCTGTATCCAGTTTTCTACTAATGACTCTAAAGTGGTTTTGCACCCAAACTCTGCGTATCTTCCTAAGGTGATACATCCTAGTTACAGCTCTATGTCTATAGAGCTTTCCAGCTTTCACCCCCCCACCCTCTTTTGCATCTGAGGAGCAAAAGAGGCTGCATCTTCTGTGCCCCATGCGTGCTCTACGCACTTACATCAGCCACACACAGGATGTAAGGTCATGTGATCAGCTGTTTGTGGCTGTTGCTAACCCACACAGAGGTAAAGCTCTTTCTAGACAAAGACTCACTCACTGGGTTGTAGAGGCCATCTTGCTAGCATATAGCAGCAAAAACCTTCCAATCCCTCTTGGAGTTAAAGCTCACTCCACTAGGGGTGTAGTGACATCTTGGGCCCTTTTTAAAGGGGTACCTGTGAGTGACATTTGTGCCGCGGCCAGCTGGGCCTCACCAAAAACATTTGCACGATTTTACAGCCTGGATGTAACAGTACTTTCTGCCGGGTCCAAAGCTCTGCATTAGTACAGTACTTACTCAGGCACACTACTTAACTCAGGTCTGATACTGCTCTGCGGGGCGCTTTGACAAGTCCCATTTACAACTGTGTGTTGTACTGAGTGAAATGACTGAAAAGGAACGTAAGGTTATGAATATAACCACGGTTCCTTGAAGGTATGGTATGGAAGTACAACACCTTGTTGGCCCCGCATCACAAAGGCTCGGTGAAGGGCGGTATCTAACTGAGTAATGACGCTGGTGACTCCAAACTTATAGGGTGAAGGCGGAGCCTGTCACTCGACGTTCAACGTCACCGGTCTAAAGGCGTGATTAGAGGTGGCTTCAGCCAGATGCGCGAGGACAAGGGTGTCCCATATACAACTGTGTGTTGTACTTTGTTCCATCCTTCAAGGAACCGTGGTTATATTTATAAACTTACATTTGCCATCATCAGTGTGTGAATATGAGTGTGAATGGGTGAATGTCTGTAAGTGTAAAGCGCATTGTGGTCACAAATAAACTGGATAAAGTGCTCTATGAGTTCATTTCATTTGCCACTTAAGCTCACACACCTCTTTAGTTGGGGTCTTCCTTTACCCTTTTCACTAGGAGGTGGATTGTGGGAAGTCTCAGCGCTCTTGTACTTTTTATCTTTCTATATTGAGATAAAAATCTTAACTTCATTCAACTAGTAGCGTCCTTATTTAATCTGACTTTTGAGTAAAATAGAAAGTTCTTTTTCACCTGAAGAAAGGACTTGAGGGTTGTTATGGCCTGACGTAACACAAGTCTGTTTTAGTCCAGCTGTGGACCGAAACCCCATGTTGACGTGGATCGTGAGAGTTTGTGGACCCCCATGATTCTGGATCTGTGCTGTCAGGAGCATCAGCCCCTGCTCCCATGACAATTAAGTCTCAGGAGAGAGGTCAGACTCAGACCTTGATGAAGAAAGACGCCTGGTAATAAGGGTGACATGGAGCCATGAAGGGGTTTTAGGTGTATGGAATGTCACACGGCTAACAAGAAAGGGGCTAATGATAGTGGAAACCATCAAGAGTCTATCTCCATTCTCAGCACAAAGTTGGTGGTCATGAGGTGAACCACGACCAAACAACAAGATTCTCAATGCAAGCAGCTCCAATGGGTGGCTGGACTCAGCTTTAGAGAAACGACGAGGAGCTCAAAGTAGAGTCACTACTCATCATTAGAGGGCAACCAGGACACCTCCCTCTGCAGGATTTCTAAGCATGGCCCACTGAAGAGACCTGGTCTTGGAAAAATAACTTAGCCCCATTCCCACCATCTTCTCAGGTTGAGTCAGTGATCTCTTTTGCTTACCTTAAAATGTCATCATGTTTTCCACTTTTTATCCTCTGTTTTCTCTCAGATAAAGTGTTTTACAACCAGGACAAGATCTGTTAAGAAGTAATCATCCTTGCTGGATACTTTATCAAATATCATGTTTTCCTTGACCCATCTTTGGCGCTAAGAGAGATGTTTATTGTCTGTCTGGATAACATTCTGTATAAATTTGAACTGCTGAGACTGCCTCAGCGCACATCTTTCTAACACATGCCTGTGTTACGTGTTTGTGCCTTGCTATCTCTGTATAAGCTTGATATCAGAATGATCCAGGTATCAAAATGTAACTTTTAAGGCCACAAATCTGAAAATGTAATTAGGTCATTTTGATATGATGGGTCACGTCCATGTTTGCCAGCGCGGCGATGAGAATGCGTGTTTATTTTTGTCCGTTTTGGTCAAGCCGCTTCCCGTCTGTTGGAGTTTAGATGCCATCACGCTCTTTGAAGGTATTTCTGTATTAGCATGTTAAACCTGTTTTCTCTGTTGCTATGTGTGTTCTTGCAAAAGACAAGCAGGCTGTGCCTGGAAGGGAAGCGAGTCATATGTTTCAGAATCATTCTATCATTCTTACACCGCTGTTACGCAAGATGTTTTCAGTTTTGCATGCAAATTGCTTGTTTGTTTTCTTGATTCCACTCCCTGCTTGCTGACAATAAAAAGACAAGGCTTTGCACACAGGACCTCAGAACTCGTGAGAACTGGCAGAAACAGCTCAGTGCTCATGAATTCTCCTTTTGCAAAAGTAACGTCAGAAAACTCATACCTTTGTCTCTGGTTCTCTTTATTTAAGTTTTATCATCTGATTAACCCTTTCACCGTCCGACACGACCCGAGCAAGTTGCGTCGGAAAAAACAACTTTCTCACTAGAACAATAATTAGAATACTCCGTGCTGGAAAACACCCAGTCATTTTAATAATTATTAATATTATTTTACCAATTAACCATGTATGTTACACAAACTTTATAATTATAAACATGGGAACAACTACTCCCAATTTGACAACATGTAATGTCCGTTACCTCCTGAATGCAGCACAGAGTCCAGTGTTTCCACTAGGAAACTGGTC